TATTTGCCTGAATTTGGGGGTTTTGCTCAGACCTGCCATTGTACTTTTTGGCCCTCTAGAAATAAATCAAACACTTCGAACTTGACAAAGCCGAAACCAGTGGACAAGCAAAGGACCACCTTACAGATGCATGTTACGTTTAAGTGATGGAATAAGTTCCAAAAAATTTTGATTTCTTTGAAAAAAATTTGATTGACTAGATTCTTCAACACAACAAAATAAACCAGCATCAAGCCAGAAAATACGTTGGAGACTACAATAAAATTCCAGTATCAAACAAAAAAAAGAAACACACTTACCTATGGTATCTCACCAACTCATTAAGTGACTTGAATTTCACCGACCACAAGAAATATTTACCATTATTGTCTCGCAATACTTTGAAATGCTGAATCGTATCTTCGAACCTTAAAAAACACCTAAAATGTGTGTAACAAAAGCTATGATGTGATTAGAAGCTCAAAGATTCTTAAGCCATTCCAGATTACGTTAAATGTTGCTGCCTTACCGATTATTTTTATGCCAAATGAAACAATCGACAAGGCTAAACATGGTGATGTAAAATGTCTACATAATATTCTTGTCAAAAATCATACGTGCCAAAATGCTAAAATCTGCTATCTTACTACCATAGAAGGCATACAAAAACTGGCTCAGCTTGAAACGAAAGTCAAGATAATTTGCTGAAATGAAACTAACTTCACGGATATACTAAAATCACCAGGAGAGCTCTCACACTGTCGCACCAGGAAATTTCCGTCACGAGTCCCTTGCCTCTTAAGTAATATTTCAGCATCTAATCGTGAAATTTTTCCCAGATACCTGAAATGATATTGCATTGAAAGTGTGTTCCGGTCATTGCTGGTTATAATACGTGAACAGACATTTTGCAAGTTATTGTCGCTTTCTCGCAAAAAGTACCCATGTCAAAAAGTTCTAAACTGCATGAACAAACGACTAGGAAATTAAGACATAAGTTAAAATTCTTCGAATAAGATGGAACAAAAACGCTCCATGTCGAGTGAAAAACAAGTTAATTCAATACGTTGTTTTCAGTAAGGTGAGTAAAGAAAAAGAAACGTACCATGGGCTATCATGCATTCGAATGTAGTTTGATGGAACAAATCCCTCTACGCCATCTATTTCTGCTTTAAACCAGTGCGGGTCCTCGTCCTTATTTAGGACCTACAAATAGTAGCTATATGGGAAGGACGTTTATATTCTCGGGTTGGACAATTGTTTTTACTCCAAATGAATGAAGACCACCATAAAACAGACACCATTCTGTAAAACGAAGAAAGCGCAGCAACAGTCAAAACCTCACTTTCAAGATTTGTCCACGTCGAAAACTCAACTCGTCGTCAGCATTGGCGTTGAAGTCGTGTTCAGCCGTCGCCTCCATGAGGCCTTAATGGAAGGGTGGTAGGAATTGAACCACCAACATGAACATCTATCATTCCGAGTGGTATTCCGAGATTGCAAAAATTCTAGCAGTTAAACTCTCTAAGGATTAAAGAGAACAAAAAGCTGCAGAATGAGAGTGTTTGTCAAGATCTGGTAAACTCGCACGCTGATAGATGAGGATAAAGTGCAAGAAAAGGTATAGCAAAAAAGAGTAGATGTAAAGTTAAAGGCTGATATTGTCAACAAGGGCGTGGTTCCTTCTTTGTTGGAAAAAACTGCATCGATTTCACCCAGGTTTGTTGCTACTGAAACGCAAATATTTCTTGGAACTTCTTTAAATTAACATGATCATACAAAAGTTGCACAAAGGTAGAATTACTGCTTCAACAGAACAATCAGCATGATTCAGCGAATTATTGAAACGACAAATGGATATCAAATTCGAAAGCAAAGCAAAGCCGCAAACTATGCGATAAATTCTCAAGCGATGTGACCAAACAGCAACATATAGGCGAGGCGATCAGTCATCCATGGTGGTTACACTGTAATATCGACTATCCTCGTTATTCTGATTCATTGCGGCGATAGCAGCGGGCAAGCAGTGAGTGAGATCTTATCACTCACTGCTATTAAGACTTGTTCACATGTGAGAAGTCAATAAACTCAGATTCAGTGATGAAACGAGTAAAGTTGCCAATTTGGGTAAAACTGTTCGTAGATCGC